TATCTTTTTTAATGAATTGGTTTGAAAGTGCAGGTACACATACACACTTCATTACCCATCAGGATATGATGTTCCAAGACTCAGAATGTATGAAACCCAGGCGAATAATAAATCCTTTATATACGCTATTTTGTCCTCATCCATCTATGATGAAAGTATCATTTATAAATTAAATATAATAGGATACTATAATAATAATAAAATGTACAATTGTAACACAAATGCTGTAATAATACCAACATCACTGTTGTACTTTAGGGCTATTATTAATAAAATAAAGCTTAATAAGTATACTATGACCATTTGATAACTGACAGGTGGATAATGTGTACTGTGTCAACTCACATCCCAGGTGGGATGGAGTAAGATAGTAAGCTTTTATAATGCTGCTTAGAATTGCACGGAATTTAAGATGCTTGAATTATTTCAGGAATTTTAGTATAATATTTTCAGTTGGCCACAGACTAGAAAGGCAAACCACAGAAAGTGATACCTTAGATAAGAGATCACTACTATGTTATAATTTCTGACAGAAAATTTCAATATGCAGCAATTTTGCTAACAGAATTCTGAAATGGAATTTTACCTGTAAAAACATAAGAAAAAAAAGCATAAGATGGTTTTATTAACATAGTAAGACTGGCAGAAATTCTTGCCTCACAGCATGTTTTTTGCACCAAACAGAATTAAGAATAAAAAGTGGTTAGATCTAACTTTGATTATGAAAATCTCTGACCTTGAATAGTTCTAGACTTAGATAAGAAAATTTAATAACCTAAAATTAATATTATTGATGTGTCATTTTTTTTTGTTGGTTGTGGGGCTTGAACTGATGTGCCATGTTATGAAGCATGTATCCCTAGAAATTGTCTTTTGGTGCTAATCTACAGTCACAATAATGAATGTGAATGAAAAGTAGATACTTAAAGCTAATCCTGTATCATACCAGTGTATAATAGTGCCAGGAACACAAGTAGGAATGATCATAAAGATGAGTGCTTTTTGGAAATAGGCTGAGATTACAAGTTTGCATTCCTTGTTTGGATATGATATTATACATAATTCCAAATAGTGAACTACTTTCTGAAATATTTAGTTATAGGCATACAGAATCAATTTAGTTTAGTTTATTCATTATTCACTCAGCAAACATTTCTTGAGCACTTAACATGTACCAGACACTGCCAGGATCAGGAAATAACGATTGCTAAGTCTACACAGGTCACACCACACAAAATCAATGAGTAGAAATTTGTGAAGTGCTAATTTAGTGTGTCGAGTACAGTAATGTTCTGAAAAGGTGGTGGAGGAGCACAACTCCTGAGAATAGCTGGAAGTAGAGCTGAATATTCAAGACTGTTAGGCAAGTAGACAGTGGCAATTTAGGCTGATTATTACATATGTACCTTCCATATGTTCTGCCTCTACTATTACTTTACAAATGATGTGGATGTCCAAATCTTAGGGTATTTCCCTGAGGTGGGAAGAGAGATTTACAAGTAGTTGTTATGGCTCTCAAATTTAGATGATAGACTTTTTAGCATTGCTTTCTAAAATAGCTCAGTCAGCACTAAGATAAATGAGTCACTGTAATTTTCTATAACTGAGTTAAAATATGACCAGCTTCAAGGAAAGAATCTTCATCATATGTACCTTAGAATATTTTACTATGTGAATGTGCAGTGATATAATTGGCAATGTTATGACAATAAAAATGGAAGATATTTAAGGAATTCTCAAATGCCTTATTGATCGTTGAAAATGGGATTAGTTGATTTAATGTAGATAGGTTTATGCATAATTTTTTTCATGTTGGAAAAACCCTTGTAAACACATTTTTACAAAATTACTGCAAATCACTGCAATTAAAATTCATTTAACCTTTTTTGTTGGCAGTCTGTTTTGGCAATTCCTTATCTATAACATTAGTTTAAAGCAAAGCTAATTCATAACTTGTCTTTGGAATGTCCAAAATAGTAGCGAGTGCATTATTTGTGCATCTTTTGACAATTTGCATGTGTACAATTCTGAAACTGTAAAATTACTATAATGAACTCTTTCATCTGTGCCTACTTATACTAAAATAAAATAAAAATTAAAGAATACTGTGTTAAATTTGTCTCTGGACTCTTTTATTAAAATCACTAAAACCAGGTTTGTACAAAAGGTGTTTGAAGAGCTATGTGGCTGAGCCACATAGCTGAGCCAGAGTAGATGTGAGACCCTGAGTTCAAACTCTAGTACTACACACACACACCAGACACTAGTGGTTCATGCCTGTAATTCTAGCTACTCAGGCGGCTGAAATCCAGAAGATAGCTGTTTGAAGCCAGTCTAGGCAGAATAGTCTTCAAGACTCCCATATGTTGTTCACTAACTAAAAGCCTGGACGGAAGTGTGCCTTAGGTCTAGAATGAGAGCTAGAGTAGGACACCAAGCTCAAGCTGTAGTACTACATAGTTAAAAAAAAAGTCCATATTTATAAGATGATTTCTTTTTTTTTTTGTCGTGGGGCTTGAACTCTGGGCTTGGGCGCTGTCCTTGTGCTCTTCAGCTCAAGGCCAGCGCTCTACCGCTTGATCCACAGAACCACTTCTAAGATGATTTTTTATATGATTTTCTCCATGATATGACCCCTGCTTTCACTGTATTTGATGTTGGTATAATTTGTGAAGGGGAAGGGAAAAAACAAATCGTTTTAATAAGGATACAGGTGGACCCATTGCAACAATGAGATGTACAAGTCGTTATGTTGAAAAACGAACTTTACAACTTTGGGTGGGGGATATGCGAAGGGACAGGAAGGGGAAACAAAGGAGGAAGCAACAATGCTTGATAAGAAATGTACTCATTATCTTGCCCATGTAATTGTAACTCCTCTATACGGTATTTTCATAATAAAAAAACTTTTAAAAAGTCCTTGACAAATTGACAACACATTTTGTAAAAGTTTCACTATTAAGAGATGGAGATACAGCTCTTCTTTTATAAAAAGAATCCAGAGGCAGTCTTTATTATTTTAACAGTCATGCTTCTAGATTTTTATGTCAGAATTAATGTATAACAATTGTTGATGGCTATTTTTCTTTTTAAAAATTTTTTAAAGTTTTTATTTTTTGGCTATTTTTTATTATATGTTCTATACATCTATTCAAATTCACTACAATGAAGATGATACTTTTTGATTACTGTAGAAATACAAATGTTTAAAAATCTCTGACTCAAAAATACTTAAGACCACCTCTGATTTTGGAGAATCAGATCCTCATTTTATGATTAGTTGCTTAAAATCTTGTAAGAAATGGATCCATGATTAGGAATCACACAATACATAAGCCAGATACCACTAAGAAGTTACGGTATTACAGTGCATCTTAAGCTTAAAATGTTTCTCTTTCAGCCCATTTTGTTTTCCCAACAACTTTGTTAATGGCTGCTCTAGTCAGTTGTTTGGGCCAAAAATTGTGGCAGCGTCTTTGACTTTTGCTTCTCACACTTCATATGTAACTTTTTGGCAGTTTGTTCAAGATAATCAGAATGTGATCACTTCTCACCACTTACTATCATCTTGCCGAGTTATTTCTTGTCAATAACAGCAGCTTCCTCCTGATCTCTCTGCTTTTATCCTTGTTTACTGTGTGCTCAACATATTTGCATTAATAAAATGTGATGTGCCTGAGTGTTCTCTTAGGCCTACAAACTTTTAAAGCAGTTTAACCTCAGATATACAAAGTTTGGCACTAGGGTCTCACCTTGACAGGACCTGAACCAAAATCAGTTAATTCTCTCACAACCTAGTGTCTCTCTGCCTTTTCTCACACTCATGTTCTCTTGAGGAACCTAAGCAACTCCATTTCACTTAAGACCCCCATCTCAGTTCTGCAACTTAACACCTGAGCCACTTCAGCCCCAATGCCTGGAATTACAATATCTGAAATTCCAGAACTGCCCCTCCTGGGGTCTGGTGACCATTATCTAAACCGGACACCCTGCAGTTTAGGACCTATGCTCTTGAGACTCCCCTGTGGTGCAAGCCAACCAGTTTAAAGTAAGTCAGCCCCCTTGATCTAACCAACAACTTGTTTCTGGTCCTTTCCCGCTTTGTAGTGCGCCAATCATACTATAGAGTTGTTTTAGGATTTTCCCACAGTTTGTAGTTATTTGTTACAAGAAGTTATGATGTATGCAAAGCTCAAGCTTGCAATAAAGACTCCTTTGCTTTTACATTGGTGACAGTCTCTGGTGGTCTTTTGGGTAAGGATTTCCGAATCCGGCTTTACACTCTTGCCTTGGATATGCCTCCCATTGCTAACACAGCCTCCATCACAGTTCTTCAGTGGTAGTTTTGAAACTAGCAGTGAGAAAGAAATGACTGAGTTGGTTATGCAGTTAATTTTTTTTTTTTAAATAACCTCACCTTTTACCCTCAAGATAATTCATTAGCCTTCGCGGCTTTCTTTCCTGCGCTTGGACCCAGTGTGTCAACCACATAAGGCGCGTGCCACTGTAAGGTTTTCAGAAAAATGAAAAAAGTATATACCACATGTTAAATGGTGCTGGCGAGTCAGCCCTAGAATCCCAGGATGCGGATAGGAGTCGGTACGTGAGAAGCTGACGTTTTGGTCCAGGTGTGAAAGCGATGTGGAAGAGCCAACTCCACAGGAGAGTCGGGAATACCCCTGGGAAGAGGGCTCGGGCGGGCGCTCCACCATTCCGGCCACAGCGCCACTTCGGACTTCGTCCGCTTAAGTGGTGCTGAGGAATCGAACCCAGGCTAGGCAAGCACTCGACTCTTGAGCCGCCTTCCCAGCCCGCCAACCTACTCTTAAAACAACTCATCTCCTCCCACCGTCTACCCGAGCTGGAGAAACGAGGCCCGGCGGTCAGCACACCTAAAGCCAGGACCACCCGCCTCGCCGTGCTTCCGGTTCCGGCTCTCCGGGTTCCGCCCCCGCCGGAAGCGACTCGGAGCGGGGGAAAGGGGTGGGGCCGCTCGGGCGCCGCGCATGCGCTTCCCAGGCAGCTGCAATGGCGCCATCCTGCCACCTGAACAGGTATCTTCTGCTCATGGCCCAGGAGCACCTGGAGTTCCGGCTGCCGGTGAGTGAGGCACTCTCCCCAACCCCGGACCGGAGAGGTCAGCCTCGGGCGGGGTGGGTGGAGTCATGGGTGCATTCCACCCGCCTTCTCCGAATACACGGCCGTTCTGGGGGTCCCCGCTGGTTTGAGCGGATCACACACACGCGCACACGCACACGCACACGCACACACGTTTACCCCCCCCCCCCCATCCCCGTTCCCGCCCTTGGACCACTAGATGGGGGTCTGGACTGGGCGGAGGGTGTGTGCGGGGAGACCGAGACCCGATTGATTGATCGGCGCGAGTTCCTGCTAGCGGCCCTGGGAAGGTGCCCATGCGGGCCCCTCCCTCCCGCCGGGGCCTGCCGCGGCCCGGGGAGGACGGAGGTGTCCCACAGGAGTGCTCTGCGTCGTGACTTAAGGGTCAGAATTTACGGTCCAAGCTCGGTGGGGTGCTGGGGGCGATGTTATTCAGATGGTAGAAAACTCGAGAAGTGCCTTTATTCAAGTGACATTTTCAGAATGTCTGTAATGGAATGTGGGGAACTTTTCTTATGCTGCCCCCCCCTCTGCCCTCCCGCATCGTGGGGGTAATCTCCTTTAGCTTTTCGTGGCTAGGATTACAGGTGTGAGCCATGGGCATCCGGATCCTGGGTTTAGTTTTTGAATAAGTGCCAAATGTATTAGTTTTAGTTTTTGTTTTTTATTGGACTGTGCTGGGGTTTGAACTTACACTTGGCTTGTTTACTTGACAGGTGTCGTACCACGTGAGGCATGCCTCTAGCCCTGTTTTTTCACTGGTTATTTTGGAAATGGGATCTCACAGATTTTTCTGCTCAGGCTGCCCCTACAACTATGGTCCCCTACAACTATCTCAGCCTCATGAGTAGCTGAAGTGTTAGTCACTGAGTCTGACAATAGGGATACAGGTGGACCCATTGCAACAATGAGATGTACAAGACGTTATGTTGGAAAACGAACTTCGCAATTTAGGCGGGGGTGGGGGGTGTAGTTGAGGATGTGGGAGGGACAGGTTGGTAGGGGAAAAACAAAGGAGGAGGCAACAATGATGGATAAGAAATATACCCATTACCTTGCTCATGTAACTGTAACCCCTCTGTACAGTATTTTCACAATAAAAATCTTATTTAAAATTTTTTTATTTTAAAAAGGAATCCCACCTTATTTTTTCTTTTAAGTATGATTCTGTTGGCCTTGCTGAATTTTTCCAGCCACTGGACTTGAGGGATGGTATTACTCTTCATCAACTTGATTTCCTTAAATGAATAGCCTGAGACTGTGTATTTTGTATAGATATCTTAACTTCATAACATAGCTGTAATTTTTATTTACACATGAGAAAACTTACAAAGGAATTGATTTTCTTGATCTGAAAATTAATTTGTCTCCTAATGTCTACTATTCAAGTTTGTTGCAAATTATCCTTTGGGCTATCTTCACTAATTTACTGATAATAACTATACTTTTTGTGTAGTTGAACTGAATTAAAATCTTTCTAATATAAGATATGATTGGATGTGTAGTCCAAGGAAAAATAGTGGTGTTGGGTGCTTATTCTTTTTTATCTTGGAGTGGGGAACTTGGTAGTATGAGTGTACTCTCTCTCGTGGTTGCTGTGGCTCACAGTGGGCTTGGAGTAAATAAAGTCTCCTTGATGGTTAGCAGCCAGCCCTGGGGATACTTAGTTCGCATTAGGTTACCTGTTCCACAGACCTGTACAGAGGAATGGTATTCTACTTGGTTTATGTTTTTTAGGGAGACAATTTTAGTGGTACAAATTGTATTTTTGTAAAGTCATCTCATGTTTTTAGTATTTCATGACTGACTTTAAGGAAAAAATACACTGATTCGATTTCAGCTTTGCAATCCTGGTGCACTTAAAGTACCTGTTGAGTTAGTTTTCCTTCTAGTTGCAGGATGAAGAAAGGTTAACTTAATGTACTTGTGCTTAATGACTCTATGGTAATGATTCCTTTCTAAATGTCCTCAAATCATGTTTACTATTTCATTTTATTTTTTGTTAATTATCAAGCTTACTAATCATAATGTCTGTAATCTGTTCTTTTGTCCTTTTCAAAGTGAAGATTCTTTTTTACTTTTTAAGTCAACCCTCTTGTTTAAAGGTTTTCAGAAATTACTTAACCATTATTGTGACTATAAAATGACTTCTGAACCTGATTTGAAACCTAAATTCCTTGGGTAGATATCAGTGTCAATATATATTAGATTGATATTAATTATATTCAACCTATTGCTCTTAACAGATATTGAATCCGTGTTTATAATATGTTCTATCATATTTCCAACACAGGAAATAAAGTCTTTGCTTTCTCTTTTTGGAGGCCAGTTCACCAATACTCAGGAAACTTATGGAAAGGTGAGGTAAATTTTTATTAGAGCACATATAGTCTACTTATAAATAGATTTAATGAGAACTGTAAAACCTAAATTACTGTTTGGCGGATTATTTGTATCTGTAAAGGCATTGAATAAAAAAGTTATTTTAGAAAATATTTTGGCTTTGGGAAGTAGCTTAGATTTACTTCCATTTTATTTATTTATTCCTTTCTTATTTTCTATTTTTTCACTGCTAGGGTCAAGTCTAGGGCATCATACATTCTAGGCAAGTGCTCTACAATTAAGCTACAAAACAAGCAGTAGTTTTAATTTCTCATTCAACAGTTACACAGTAATGTATATCCTTTCATAGATAAAAAGGGACAATCACTAATGAGTTATGTTCAGAATTAGAATTTAGGTGAATTTTAGGTGTATATTGGGACTCATTTTAAAAATCTAAAATTATGCTGGGTGTCTGTGGCTCACGCTTTAATCCTAGCTACTTAGGAGGCTGAGATCTGAGGATCGTGGTTCAAAGCCAGCCCAGGCAGGAAAGTTCGTGAGACTCTTATCTCTCATAAGCCATTCAGAAAATTGGAAGTATTGCTGTGGCTCAAGTGGTAGAGTGCTCGCCTTGAGCTGAAGAGCTGAGGGATAGTGCCCAGGCCCAGAGTTCAAGCCCCATGACTGACAAAAAAAAAAAAAATCTAAAATTATGCATTATGTAAGGTTTTGAATTTATGAGCTTTCTACTGTTTTGCATTATAGGTTGTTAGTGTTTTAGATAAATTTGGAAAATAGAAAATGAAATTCATATGTCTTCCTCTTTGACATAACTCATAGTTTTGGGGGTACTGCTGTCTTTTAGTCATTGTCTTGTACTTCATTCTTTGTGAGTTGTAACATGACTTACTGTGAACTTCTGCAATATACAGTTTTCATTTGATAGTATTAATATAGGCACATGTGCCTTCATCACTAACATGGCTACATATTTAGATCTATGAAATTTATCTGACTTTTCATTTAATTCAAGTTACATTAACATTTTTTGTAATTAAATACTACTAAAGTGATCATTTTCTTCTGTTTGGATTATTATTATTATTTTCTGTAGCTAGAGTAAATACTGAAAGAAGAAAGCTGAGGTATGACAGAGATTAATTAAAGTTCCAAATTTTAAGTCCTCTGGTATTACAGTTTTATTTCTGAGTGTCTTCCTTATTGAAAAAAGTGAGATATAAGTGGATGAGATGATGAGCTGAGGTGGAGGTACTCCTTTGCTTGGCTGTGTTTTTTGGCAGGGGTTTTCAGGGTAGTTCTCTCCAGTTCTTATTCTCTTGGGTCTTGAGACAACATGATTGAGAAACTCTTCCTAATCCACCTGGAACTTTTTTGTTCTTAGACAAAATGTAAAAAAAGTTAATGATAGTAATAGACCTCATGACTTTCTATTTCCTAGGCCTCTTACATACCTTTCAGGTGGCCAGAACTAGAAAAGGCTACATAACTCTAGTCCTAGCACTCAGGAGGTGTGATTTCAAACTATGTTAATTGGGTTACATAGTGAGAGACTCTTTCTCAAAAAAGCAAATCCAAACTACACCAAGAATAAGCAAGAAACAAACCAGAAAAAGAGACCATTTAATAATTTAAGGCATATCTTTAAGAAGTTAAAAATAAGTTGGGTCCAGTGGCTCATGCCTGTAATCCTAGCTACTCAGGAGGCTGAGATCTGAGGAATGTGAAAGTTAGCCTGGACTGGAAAGTTTGTGACACTCTGTTCTCCAACAAACTACCAAAAAAAAAAAAACTCAAGTACCCAGGCCCTGAGTTCAAGCCCTAGGACCAGTATAGAAAATAAAACAACTACATTGTCAGAAATGATTCCCAATGATAAAAAAAAATTCTACAACTGTACTATGCAGCATAATGTTCATTAATTCTGTAGCCAAGCTTTTAACAGCACACAAAACTATCCTTAAGATTAAATTAGTTTAAATTAATTTATTAGGATTTTCGCTTATAGAGTTATTTTTAAAAGGGTTCTTACAAGCCAGGTGCCGGTGGCTCATGCCTGTAATCCTAGCTACTCAAGAGGCTGAGATCTGAGGATCGTGGTTCAAAGCCAGCCTGGGCAGGAAAGTCCGTGAGACACTTATTTCCACTAGAAAACTGGAAGTGGTGCTGTGGCTCAAGCAGTAGAGCGCTCTCCTTGAGCTGAAGAGCACAGGGACAGCGCCCAAGCTCAGAGTTCAAGCCCCACGGCCGACCAAAAGAAAAAAAAATAGGTTCTTACATTGCAGTTTATTATCCTATTAAAATAATTTACCTTTTTACTGTCCATGATTGCAATTTTGATTAGAATCCGATCAGGTATTACATGAAGGTAGAAAAATAGGACTTTTTCCTGTTGACTTCTTGAATCAAAGCATATCAAGTTTATAGCTGTTAAGAAGTAAAGAAGTTGTTATTTCTTTCAGTCTCCATTTTGGATTCTTAACATTCCCTCTGAAGATATTGCAAGAAATTTAATGAAACGGACAGTGTGTGCCAAGTAAGAAAAACTACACCATGTTCTCCTGCATGTTTGTATACCATACTTCATGTAACTACTGTGCCCAATTTTTTTTTCCCCATACAGTACAATGTAAAAAGGATGATTATGGAGAGGAATAAGTTTAGCTTTCAATCCCATGCCTTTCCTGTGGATAGGGAAAGGAGGAGGGTTAAGTACTGAAACAGAGTGAGAAGGGAAATGTAGAAACTTGTCTTCAGAACTTTTAAACAGGATTATACTATGAGATATATATATATTTTTACATAGGCTAGTTGCTAAATTTAATTGTAACCAAAGGAATAAAAATATCATTTTTAGTTGGGTGAGCAGATTGGTAAACTGTAAGATGACAAATGCAACGACTGCCATGAATACATTCAATTTTTTTTTGCTAGAGAAATAAATTCCAGTGATAATTCATAGTATGAATTAATCACGTTTCTCATTGTTCTAGATTTTGTCATTGACATCTATTGTTTGTTCCTTCAAAATTGTTTCTTTGATCAATATTTGCTTTTATTTTTTTCCTGAACCTGTTGGCAGATGGTTAAAAACCTTTTCTTTAGAGTGTATTGAATAATACAATGCAAGTAGGAATTTGTATATATCTACTTTTATTAAAATGGTTTACAATGCTATTAAATTGGCTACCACCTCAAATCTTACCTCTTAAATGGAGATTTGTTAATGGGTCTGTTTATTACATAAGAATGACTAGAGGACTGATGAGAGGGCATAAGTGGTAGAGTGCATGCCTAGCAAATAGAACTGAGTTCAATCCCTAGAATGTAATTAAAAAATATCCTTCGAATAATTAATTACTATTATGTCTTATATGTGCTATGAGGTGCTTCCAAAGATAAGGCTTGTTAGGCTTAAAATAGTTATATGAGTACAAAGAAAAAAATCACTATATACTTAAAAAATTAAATTATCCTAAAGTAGTTGTACAAGGGAGTTTCAATTCAACATGTCATTTTATGTGTACAATACATCTTGATCAGTGTCACCCCTTCCATCTTTCTGATCCCATCTGTCCCAGTCCCATCCATCATCTCAATATGCTTGGTTCCATTTTCACATATGTTACATCCTTTTAAAGCTCATGGCTTCTGAGTCATCTATTTGATGATCAGTAGAATTAATAATTGCATAATATTATGTCATGTATAATGATTTCTGGTTGTATATCTTTATTGTAATTTGTCTTGCTGAGGCATACATGAAGAAATTCTAAGTAAGAATAGTATTATTGCTGATACCTATAATCCTAGCTATTCAGGAGGCTGAGATCAGAGGATCATAGTAGAAAAGTCCCTGTGAGACTCATACCTCCAATTAACCACTCAAAAAAACAGAAGTGGAGCTCTAACTGTAATTGGTAGACTACTAGCCTTGAGCAAAAGAGCTCAGGGATAGCCCAGACCCTGAGTTGAAGCCCCATGATGGACCAAAAAAAACACCAAAAAAACATAATATTACATGATAGTGTACACCCATAATCTCAGCACTTGTGTGGAGGCAAGAGGACTGTAGCCCACATGGGCTACATAGTAAGGCCTATCTAAAATATATACAACAAAGGAACAACAATGTAGTACAACTGTGGAGGTCTTTGTCCCACAATAGTAAGAAAAAGGGGCGGGGGGGCAGGAAGGATGGGGGGTGGAGAATGGGAAGGGCAAACAAAGGAGGAGGCTACGATGCTTGATAAGAAATGTACTCATTATCTTGCCCATGTAATTGTAATCCATCTGTACAGTATTTTCACAATAAAAAAAAAAGAAAAAGGGGAATTCACTTTCAAGATTATATTTGCATAGATTTCCAACATTAAATTGAGAATTTTTCATGATAGAATAGAAACTGAGAATTGAGTCTCTAGGTACCTACCTTTGTTAGAGATCTCAATATTTTGTTACTTAATAAGTATTAGCAAATAAGAATAAATGTTAATTGTGCCATTTTTATGATTCCTTTTTGTCTTATGAGGAAAAATTGGACTTCTTTGTAACTTTTCATCCATTTTACTAAAATACCTTGTGATTTTACATTTAATCTAGTGCAAAAATACAGTGATGGGCCTATCTACCTTGGGCTTATTCCCTAGCAATTTTATATTGAATGTCCCTCTTTTATGAGTCAACTTCTTTGTGTAGCTGGGACTTGTTATATTTGTTTCCAGGATATGTGTTTTTCACTTACAGCTTAGAAACATAGTAATAATTGTTTAGTTAAGCAAGCATGATGAGCTAGTAAAATAATTGTTATATATTACTGCCCAAACTAACTTCTTTACTGAGGTTCCAATTATTTATTTCCTAGGTCTATTTTTGAACTGTGGGGCCATGGAAAGTCTCCCGAGGAGCTGTATACATCTCTTAAAAATTACCCTGTGGATAAGATGGTGTGTAGTGAAATGTGGTTTTATATGGGCATAAATGTGTAGATTCTGTAGAATTCCTAAGTTTAAAAAACTTAACCTATTTCTGTTTTAGGTTCCATATCTACATTCAGATTCTACGTATAAGATAAAGATTCACACATTCAATAAAACATTGACACAAGAAGAAAAAATCAAAAGAATAGATGTAAGTGAATTTAGCAAAACCAAAAAAATTACAGATTTTATGTAGTCTAGATATTATTGATTTAGCAGAGTACTTTATCAAAATACGAGAATATGAAATGTCTGTGAAGTATGTATATTTTGTACTAAGCACTTGCATGTTTTATTTTACTTAATGCTGACACCAGGTGTACATGGTAGGTATTGTTAGATAAAACACTATTTTTCTTGTAAATTTTCATAGGACATTAGAATGATTTTTATTTTTATTTTTTTAGGCACTTGAATTTCTGCCATTTGAAGGAAAAGTAGACTTAAAGAAACCACAACATATCTTCTCTGTTTTAGAGGACTATGGTTTGGACCCAAATTGCATACCTGAGAATCCACATAATATTTATTTTGGTAGATGGGTAAGCAAGTGTTATTTCTACCCTATCTCATTTTGTTCCTTTAAAAGCTAAATGTGATTGGACACTTGTGGCTCCTATCTAGCCTGGGTAAAAGAATTCCTGGAGATTCTTCTCTAATTAATCAGCAAAAGGCTGGAACTGGGGGTGTGGCTCAAGTATAGAGCTTGGGCTGTGAGTGAAAATGCTGAACAAGTATGTGAGACCTTCAGTTCAAGCCTCAGTCCAGGAGAAAAGAAGCCAAATAGCTCAGTGGTACAGCAATTGCCTAACATGCATGAGGCTCTAGGCTTAGTCTTCAGAGTTGTAAAATAGAGCAGAATAAAATAAAAAGTGAAATAAAATAACAAAATTAAATGTTTTATATGTATGATTTTAAAGGAGCTAAAATTTTGGAATTCTTGTATGGATTCCAATCAATGAAAAACATGTGATTGTCATTTTCCACAGGTTCCTGTGAAGTATAAGAGTCTTACAGATGTAAAACCTAGAAAGAAGGTTAAATGGTAATATTAAGAGAAGATTTAAAGGGCAGTTTACCCAGAAAATCTAGACTGTCTTTTCAAAATAGAGCAGAGGAAGGCAGAGTGCTATGATCAAGGCTTTAGATCCCAAGTCTAGGTCTTCAATCCTGAAAACAAATGGGATTACTGCAGAATAGTTCTCGTTTTCCTGAAGCTGTAAGTGGGTGAGTGAAATGTGAGACTTAATCTTGTTGATTGTTGTTATTAGGAAACAATAGGTGGGGAAAGCCTATAGTCAATCCCTGGCAAGAAAAAAGTATCCATAATTGTCTTAACCACATTATTTTAAAGGAAGAAATTTAGAGCAGTAGTAAGTTAAAAAGAAGTTCTTACCAGCACAATGCTGTAGTTTTGTTGTGAACAGTTATTTTAAATCTATTTTATGTGGTTGCACTATTGTGAAAAATATTTTTGGTCTAGATTGCGGATGGACAGAGAGAGCTGATTGAGTCATATAGTGTCAAAAAGAGACATTTTATTGGAAATACAAGCATGGATGCTGGTTTATCATTCATCATGGTCAACCATGGAAAAGTGAAAGAAAATGACATTGTCTTTGATCCATTTGTTGGAACAGGTATTTTATATTCATTATTAGACTATAGTAGAGATTTCACTTGTGTATAATAGTTAACATTTTGGTGATAGATTAAGTGGACTGAATCATCTTTTGTCACTGGTTAGTAACTAAGAGGTAACCTCATACATATATAATAGCCAGTATGTAAACACTTTTGCTATTTCAAAGATGATGCTGATTAGAATTTTGTAGGTCTTACAGGTCTTATGCCATGCAAGCCACTAGAGGGAGCATCAGGATAATTTTTACAGCAGAAAACTTTCAGGAGCATACTTTGTAGGAATGTTGTAAAAGCCTTAGAAGTTATTAAAATAGGAAAAGCCTTGGAAGAAATAAAGAGTTGAGTGAAAAGATTAAGAAAGAAAGACACTCATGTTAAGTACATACCCATATATTTGGATGGAGAATAGTTAAAACAGTTTATCTTTGATTTGGTTTTGGGAATTTATAACTAAGTATGGAAATAAATGGACTCTGTTATTAGTGGACTGGAGCTTCCTTCTGTGAACATGATCTGGGCTCTGCCTACATTGGATTAATATGTTTGTATATAAGATGTTGAATTTCAAGCATTCTTCATCTGACTCTGAAGAGTTTTCCCTGCTTGGTGTTATCCATATTTAAGAAGTACTCATACTTAATTTGTTCTGACTGACCCCAGGTGATTCAGTGTATTGTTAATGTTTCTCCCCCTCCAGCCATCTTTCTCTGAGCAATGAGGATACGATGCTAGTATTTGTGGAATGGTAAATTTGTCGTAATTTAGGCTGTACACTCTGTTACTCTCTAACTTAACTCTTGGGACAGCTAATATGGAGATACTTATTAAAATGTTCTGAAGGAGGAGAGGGAGCTTAAGTGATATGGCCAAGGGGCACAATATATGTATTTCAAAGGTTGAAACTTATGTAGTCAAACTAGAACTCACACTCTTAACCTCTTTTTAGTGTTGCTTCTTTTCGTACTAGGTCTTTTTCTGCCAACCCTTATATCACAATGTGACCATCGATGACTAGGAAGAAATTATTTCTCATCAAGAGATTTCTAACCAGTGTGAAAATTTTCAGTATTGGTTGTTGAATTAGCTCCTTAGTAGGGGGTCTCTGTACCTTACTCTACTAGTATCTCCGTATTTCCCACCCTCAGCATGCTGTTTTTGTTTTTGTTTTTTCTTCTGTCTTTATTACCCTGTGTTGTCTTCGCTCCCATATTTTAAGTTTTCTGTTGGAAATAACATCAAACTTATAGAACAGTTATAAGAATGAAAGTAGAAGAAAGAGCGAACATATAGTCTAAGCCACTGTAAGCTGTTTTTAACATTTGGCTTCATTTGCTTCTCATTATTCTAGTTTTGTTCATATACATAACATTATTTTCTTGTACCATTCTCAAAAATCTCAACAAAAATTACTTAAAATATAGATGTATGCTTCCACATAGCTATAGTGTAGCTTGCAATATTAGTAAATATATTGATCCTTAATATATTTTTTTGTTTTCCCCATTCCCATATTTGTATGTACCTGCTACTATAGGAAGAACCCTGGTGCTGTTCACACTAGCACTTCTCTGCTATTCTCTAATATATCTAAAATAGTTGCAGAATTTCTGTCTGTGCCATCAAAAATAAAAAGCAGAATTCAAAATATGTTTTCCACTATCTACCCTAAGGAACTATAAAGCTAAATACTGTTCTTGGTTTGTTTGTTTTTTTCTTCTTCATTTAAAATTTAGTTGGATCATTTGTTTCAGTTTGCTCTTAGGTGTTAGTTTTAGATTTTTAATCTCCTGCCTGTTTTTGTTTTATTCTGTTTTTAAGTATATAGAACATTAACTGCTTTGATAAGGTAGAACTGTATAATAAGGTGCACTGAAAGGAGAGTCACTCTTCCTATTCCCTCTCCCCCCATCTTCACTGTTTTCTGGTGGAGTCTTAGTTTTTCTGTTAAGAAACTGATACAAACACACACAAACACAAACAGATAGTACCTTCTGAAGGATTCGAGAAATAAATATCTCTCTGCCCTCCTTCATGGCCGTAGGTTATCATAAAATATTTGATGATGTTTTTACTTTTGATTTTATTTTTAAAGAATATTTTAAGTTCAAATATAGCTATTCCTTTTTACCATCTTGCTTTTTTTTCTCAAGTCATGAGGCTTGAACTTGGGGCCTGGGTGCTGTCCCTGAGGTCTTTTGATTTTCTCGTGGTTAATTGGAGATAAGAGTCTCATGGACTTTTGTGTCCGGGCTGGCTTTGAACAATGATCCTCAGATCTCAGCCTCCTAAGAAGCTAGTATTACAGGCGTGAGCCATAAGCTCCTGGCTTCCTTTTTCTACCTTGATGGTACAAAGTTGAAATGTATGCAGTCTCTCAGTTGTACCCATGGGTTACTCAGTGCTTGTGATTTTCTGGTTATAGAATAATTTAGAAATTGTCCCCTGACTCAATACCTCTGCTTTTTCTTTTAATTTGCTACTATGTTTTTAGAATGACATTATGATCCTCAGAAAACACGCTTTCATTTCTGTTTTAGCAAACATATTCTCATTTCAGTCTTGTAATTTTTTAAAAAATAATATATGCCTCCGTTTTTCAAACAGGAAAGATATATACCATTGGGTCAGCTCTCAGCAGTTAGAACATGCTACTATTCTGATATGAGAATAGCTAAAGACATAACCATCATGAATGTACAGAATAGCTATAATGGCCTAGTCCTTCTGTGATATGGTATAAGACTTGATATGCTATACACAGTTACTAACTTACTGTTTCACTTATTTCAAGTTGTTTAATATCAAATCTGCTATTGTTTATCGAATTGGTATGTTAGTAAGCCTTCTCTCACTGTAACAGAGTACCTGAGATAATTAACTTATAAAGAGACAAGATTTATTTTGGCTCACAGTTTCAGTCCATAACCAGATGGGTACATTTCTGTTTGCTTCTTATTGGGTGCCAGAGGGCAGTGTGTGGAGCACATGGTAGAGCAAACTGCTCATCTCATAGCTAGGAAGAAGAGAAAGAAGAAAGGGCTAGAGTGTCCCAGTCCCCTTCAAGATCATACCCCACAATGATCCAATGACTTCTAGCTAAGCCTCACCTCCTATAGGTTTTGCTATCTTAGAGTTTTAGCACCAACCTGAGGACACAAAGCTTTAACATATTGCAGGGAGGGGGAAGTTATTTAATATCCAAAGTACAGAAGCAAGCTAATGAATTCTTATTACAGTTGGTGCTGACTTCAAAAGAGTTAGCATAGTATAAAGAAAGATCACATAGGATAAGGTTTGACATATTTATGTACACCTGATACTTAACTTTGGGCAAGATTCTTTACTTGTCTGGATTACAATTCCATCTTCTTTAAGCTGGCAGTTGTGATGATTATGAAGATTAAATGACGTAGATAATTAGATAATATTCCTAGGAGGTTGCCATTTTTAGGATGTTAGACATTTCATAAACAATGGATATCATTTATTATTATTTTGTTCAGCACTTAGATTCCTATTTGGTAAAAGACTAAGGTACAGCTAATACTAAATGATGATGATTAAAAATTAAACTGTGAACTGATTTTCTAATTTCCTTTTTGGCTAATTTGAAAAAAATACTCATAATTTGCAGCTGGTGTAGCAACAAGGAAATTGAGGCTTAAAATCATAAATGAATATTTCTTTGTTCTAAGTAGCATAAGGCTCTGATGCTACAGGTTTGATTCTTTCTTATCTCTTAAGTCAGTTCTTCTAGTAATGAGAATATACTCAGGATACTAATACATATTTCTTGGCCTTCTTGACCTCTAAATAACTCATAGGTATGAGAAAAAGAGTTTATAGTTCCTTCTGAATTTTGTCATTGCAAAATGGATAGACAGCCACAGGACTCAGGTGTTAGGAAACTGGCTTAGTCCTGTATCAGACTACAGGAAAGAAAAGGGGCTAGTGTGTCTCAGTAGGTCTTTGTAACATTATCTGCTTCATTTTGTGTCCACAAGTTTTTGTATTCCTCTGTTCCTGAATCTTTAAGTTTAATTCTCTAAAGAGAAAAATCATGAATTAATTTCTTTGTCATGAAATAAAGTCCACTTACCCGATTTTTTTTTTTTTGCTAATAAGATATTCCCCTAACCTAAAAATGGTTCCACTTTAAGCAATGAGCTATTGAAACGAGTTGTTAGTCTACATCACTTATGAGGTATTTTTACTTTTGATAACATAAGAAGAAATGATGAGACCCATTACTTGCCTCCTCAACATCTCACCCTCTTGTTTTATTGTCCCTTTTTCTACCAAAAAGCTTCTAAGAAAACTCCAACTGAGGTATAATGAAATTCAAAAATGTTTCAACTTAAAGAACTACTAAATGATTAACAGTGAGTTCACAGTCACTAGTTCAGAGAAGCCAATTTATTGCAATTTATCTTAAATTAAAAGCTTAAAAGGCACAAAGTTAACTAACAGATGTAGTCTAACAGATTATTCATCTCCTTTCAGCAGTGTACTGTAAATTGGGTCTTCTCAAAACTCACTGTAACCAAATGGATAAGGTTCTGTTTAAGGAAGCACAGGAAAGCTTATCTGTTCCCCTTGACAACTAGTTCTTCTAGGTGAGTATCTGCCTTAATTGGCAGAATTGTAGTAATTCCTGATTTGGGTGAAATGACTTTGTGAGTATTCCAAGTCATCATCTACAGCTCCTTCCCGAATTATGAATCATGAGATCACATGATTGCACTCAGTAGGTGGAGAGGAACCTGTTTTGGTTTCTGCTCTACTTTTAGTTCTCCATTTCTCTTCCTTAAGGGCTCTCATCAAAACTAGTCTGCATTATTTTTATGAACAAAGTAATTCTAAGTAACATTACCAGACTGTGCTTTAAGTAGCTATGAAAGGAACATGACTCATTTGTAGATGTTGACCCTCTGGAGGCACACTACCCATCTTAGGACTGCTGAGGTTAAATTTCAAAAAGATGTAAGAAAAGAACCCCTTGTCCTTTGTCCACATCTGTGTAGATCGGTAGTCTAAAAATACATTTCTGACTTCAACTAGATGACAGAACTTTGTATATTGAGCTAGTTAGGATTTGCTCAAGCAATAAAAAGCATTTTAATTTGAATGAATAAAAATATGAATGAAAAGTGCAAATTTTAACCTTGTGATTGTATTTCCTTGGATTTCATTTAAAAATTATGACTTTGTGATTGAATTGGTTTTATCTGTCAAATTATTTAAGAGTGGTCAAGTTGTCTTAGGACATTTGTTTTTATTCTATGCTTACAAATGATAAAACATGTTTGATAATAGTTATTTAAAAGTTTGTATTTTAGTTTCTACCAAAGATAATTACCTGGTTGTTTCACCATATAAAAATATTTTAAAATAGAACATGTATTAACTTGTAGAACTGGTATTCTACATAGGAATTACGGTGTCTTTTGTTATTTGAAACACTATTTAGTGGGAATTGAGCTCAATTATCAAAATTTACTTATTTATAGCTCTTTGTAAAAGTAGCTTTATATGCTTATTTTAAAGAAGGAAGCAAAAAAGGTACTTTTACATAAACCTCAAAATAATATAAAAATGCCTAAATATACATTATTTTGAACAAAAAAAGCTGATGTTCTCTATGTGGTGTGTGTGAAGTAGCAGTGCCAGAATAGACTGATTTGTAGCCAGTTTGGTGAGTTGAGCTTAGGGGGTTATTCCTTCTTTCTTATTTTAAAGCTTACAAAGGTATAGCTGGGACTGGTGTTGTTTTGGGGTGCTCTGCCCGAAGCTAGGCTTTAAGACTCTGGATCATTTAATTGGGAAAGAAGGAATAGTGTGTTACTTTTCTGGTTAACAGATGATAATTATGTGATGTTTCAGGTGGCCTTCTGATAGCTTCTGCTCATTTTGGTGCATATGTATATGGGACAGACATAGACTACAACACAGTTCATGGCTTGGGTGAGTAGAACTTGCAGACAGTGGTACAGTTTTTACTCTTGAATCAAATGCGCCTTTAAAAATCATAAAATTGTACATAGCTTTTGACCACTTCTGCTTGTCCTAGACTTATACTAATTATTGAAAATAAGAAAAATCACGGGACCTATGTTTCTTTGGGCCTGGCTTACTTCACTTAATATAATTTTTTCCAAGTCTTTCCATTTCCTAACAAATGGGGCAATGGCATTCTTTCTGATGGAGGCATAGAATTCCATTGTGTATATTTACCACATTTTCTTGATCCATTCATCTACTGAGGGACATCTGGGTTGGTTCCATAGCTTACATATGATGAATAATGCTGCAGTAAGCCTAGTTATGCTGGTAGCTTTAGTATGGTCTTGTTTGTGATCATTTGGGTAAATGCCCAAAAGTGGGATTGATGGGTCATAGGGGAGCTCTATGTGGAGTCTTTTGAGGAACCTCCATACTACTTTCCAAAGTGGTTGAACAAGTTTACACTCCCACCAACAATGAAATGAGGATAGAGGATGACCCATTGTAACCATGAGATGTACAAATGATGTTGAAAATGAATTTTACAAGTTTGCTGGGGGGGTAGAGGGGAGGCGGGGATGTGGGGAGGAAAGGGATGGGAGGGGAAAAACAAAGGAGAGGGTAACAATGCTCGATAGGAAATGGACTCATCCTTGCTCATGTATCTGTAACTCTTCTGTACAATATTTTTACAATTAAAATATATATTAAAAACACAGTTACAATAAATACTATTCATAAAATATCATAAACGTTCTCTATGATATTTCAGTGTTTAAAACACAAATTTACTATACAGTAAATATAGTTTTCCTTTTTTTTATAGTAAAATTTTATTAAATATCTGCATTCCACACCTACTGGGTGCAAAATGATTTGGGAAAACACAAGTATGAGTAACAAAAAGTCCCTCCATGTCCCAGAGCTATTTACAGTAGTAGTAAGAAATGTTTTGTTTTTATGAAGTAGGCAAGGTATGTTTAAGGTTATCATCATCCATTTAGTCAGTCATCCTACACTGAGTGCATATTGGATTACTACTTGCTAGACAAGTAACAGAAGTTTTCATTTTTGTAACTGACCAACATATCTTTGAAATGCTTTAGAGGACAGTAAATTTAACTGAGATTCACTTGAGATAAGAAAGAAGCTATTTTGGTTTTGACGCAATCGCAGTAAATGTTTAAAATTACAAAGATTTCACTAGTGATGGAATTGAGTTAAATTATATATTTCATTTTATCTGAAACATAAAAATACCAAGATTTTTCCTTTATATTGTAGCTTAAATACTTTTTTTCTTTTTTGTGCTAGTCCTGGGCACTGTCCTGAGCTTTTTGCTCAAGAGTAGTGCTCTATCACTTTGAGCCACAGCACCACTTCTGGCTTTTTGGTACTTTGGAGCTAAGAATCTCACAGACTTTCCTGCTTGGGCTGTCTTTGAACTGTGATTCTCAGTTCTCAGCTCTCTGAATAGCTAGGATTACAGGTGTGAGCCACTGATGCCTGCTGCTTGAATCATTCTTCACTCAATACTTGTACTGTTGACTTTTTTTCTCACCTTGACCCTAAGAAATTTGAGGAAAAATGAGTTAATATTTGTAACAGTATACATAAGTAGGCTCACCAGAAAGGGATGGATAGTGTTTGCGTGCAGTATGTTAGGCTAGGCAGGGGGCTACTTCCGGTCTGTTTTTAGTAGATGCAGCTTATTTGCTGTAAGGACGTCTGTAAGGTTTGGATTCAGATTTAGGATCATTTCTTCAGACTATATCCAATGTATTCCTAGTAAGTTCTCAGTTCTCCCTGTGTTCTAATGTTTTTATATTTCTCCCACTTTGGAAGATCAGGGCCTTTTCTGTTAATCTTACAGGGCTCTGTTAGTTATCCCTTTGTTTTCCTCTCTTGCCAAAATGCTTCCTGAATATTTAGTATTTCTCTTTTTTTTCTCATTCTCTTTCAACCATTAGTTTCTAGCTTCTATGACCACTGTTCTGCTGAAAACAGTTATTGACCTTCATAAACCTTGGTTCCCTAGACAATGTTTCATCAAGTGGTGCTTTTACTTTTCTGTTTTATCTCTTGTCTCCTTAAGACTTATGATTTCCTTTGATCTCTATTTACATACTGCTCCTCTCCAGTCATCTGTCTTTGCCCCTTCTTCCTATCAGACTGCATGATATTCAGTCATATCATTCTTTTGATTTTCAAGTTTTGTTTTTATCATCAAATAGGTCATAATACAAGAGTATATCAATGTATAAGAATAACTATAGAATAAGTTCTTATGTAATTCACATCTAGGTCAAGAAAAAAATGTCACTTATTCTTACACATTTAATTTGTTTATAAACTGATATCACTCTGTGTATATGTTCCAGACTTCAGAGCTTACTGATTTTCTATCTCTTTTAGCTGAATATCTGAACGTTCTGAAAGTACCTAAAGGTATATAATGATTATCTCAAGCTGTTTGCCTAAGCTTGTTTTTCCTTCTGGTTTCTCTGATCTAATCATGGGTTCCACTTATGTCTCCTAAGCTGCAAGCTTTGAACTTTTTCAGCCATCTCTCAACCCCCGCTTTTCATCAGTAATGTTTCCATTTTGCCTGCATTCTTCATGGTCACAGCTGCTAGGTTTCCCAAGTTAGCTTTCTTCATTTCTGTTTCATATATCTGATCCAGTCCTCTCTCTTCATGGGACTGTTTATTGCTGCAGGAAAAGGCCATATTCTGCTCACCTAGTAAATACTTTATACTTAGGAAGTATTGAATATTTTAGGACACTTTTACTTGAAAAGTGACAGAACAAGATCAATTAGACATCGGTACATTTTACTGTTTAAAACTGTTTTTGCAGTTAAAAAATTTAAAAATATTTTGTTTTATTCACAAAATTAAGCTTTTAAGTAAAAGCAAATTTTATGTGAATAAAAATGGGTTTAGTGAATTAAAGCACTATGTTTAGACAAACAACAAGAAATAAAAATGTTCTGACTGATCTAATACTCTGCCTTGCTTTTTCTTGCTCTGTAGGAAAGGCTAGTAGGAAAAACCAGAAATGGAGAGGACCAGATGAAAATATCAGGGCAAACCTTCGTCAATATGGTTTAGAGAAGTATTACCTTGATGTCCTGGTTTCAGATGCAGCTAAACCTTCCTGGAGAAAGTTTGCATATTTTGATGCAATTATTACCGATCGTAAGTTTTTTTTTATACAAAAGTAGGAATGGGATTAGTTTTCTGAAGTCATTTATCTTTCACCTACAGACTGTCTTAGAGTATATGTATATATTCCTTTTATTCTCAACTCCTTCACTTAGTAAAGAGGAGGAAATTATGAATGTGAGGCAAGTTATTAATTTAAGTAGAATGTATGCTTTATTTTTTAACATATATTATCTATTTGTGTTTATGTCCTTAGATATTAATTTGTCACCCTCTTTTCATTTCATGCTATCTTTTGAGATGCATATTTGCTTTTATATTGACTACAGTTAGTTACTAGTATACCAATGAGCACTACAGTGTCATTTATACTTATGGTATCGAATCTCAAGAGTTTCAGATACCACACATTTCTCCAGATGCAAGCTTTTGTGGTTTTTTTAATTGTGAAAATACTGTACAGAGGGGTTACAATTACATGGGCAAGGTAATGAATACATTTCTTTTCAAGCATTGTTGCCTCCTTCTCTGTTTCCTCTTCCCATCCCTTCCCATCCACCAGCCCCCCCCCAGCCAAAGTTGTAAAGTTCGTTTTTCGACATAACGTCTTGTACATCTCATTGTTGCAATGGGTCCACCTGTATCCCTATTTAAACAATTTGATTTTTCCCTTCCCCTCCACAAATTATACCAACATCAAATACAGTGAAAACAGGGATTATACTGTGGGGGAGGGACATACAAAGCAACAAAGAAATTATCTTATACATATGTTAGAAACAAAAGCAAGAAAGAAAAAACATTTGAGTCCTTAGAATCCTTATCTTGGGGTTCATTTTGCCTATCATCAACTTATCTGACCATTTCTGCTTGTCTCAGACATATACCAGTTATTGCAAATAAGGGAAACCATGGGACTTATGTTTCTTTGGGCCTGGCTTACTTCACTTAATATAATTTTTTCCAGGTCTTTCCATTTCCTAACAAATGGGACAATATCATTCTTTCTGATGGAGGCATAGAATTCCATTGTATATATTTACCACATTTTCTTGATCCATTCATCTACTGAGGGCATCTGGGTTGGTTCCATATCTTAGCTATGGTAAATAATGCTGCAGTAAGCATAGTTGTGCTGGTAGCTTTAGTATGGTCTTGTTTGTGATCATTTGGGTGAATGCCCACAAGTGGGATTGCTGGATCATAGGGGAGCTTTATGTGGAGTCTTTTGAGGAACCTCCATACTACTTTCAAGGTGATTCAAAACTTTGGCAAAGTAGCAGGATATAAAATTAACCCTCAAAAATAAATGGCTTTTCTGTATGCCAACAATGAGAAAAGTGTGGCTGAAATCAGGAAAGCAGCTCCATTTGTAATAGCCTCACAAACAATAAAATACCTAGGAATTAACTTAACCAAAAAAGTGAAGGACTTCTATGATGAAAACTTTAAAAACCTGAAAAAGGAAATCAAAACAGAGCTTAGAAAGTGGCAAAACCTCCCATGCTTTTGTATTGGAAGGATCAACATCATGAAAATGGCAATACTTCTCCAGGCTATCTACAAATTCAGTGTGATACTTATCAATATTCCAACCTCATTCTTGAAGGAAATAGAAGAGGCAATCCAAAAATTCATATGGAACAATAAAAAAAACCCCGAATAGCAAACACGATCCTTAACAGAAAGAACAGTGCTGGAGCTTTTGTGGTTTTGTAGTGCCTATTTTCACTGGCATCTCTGTTAAAGACTTGAAAAAATTTGGAGTTTTGTGAACCACTGAGCTTGTAAACCCAGTAAGCTTCAGAAAAGTACATGACAACTTACTTTTCCATGCTTTATGAGGTCTTGGGCTTTTGCAGTGGTCTGTAAGAATAGACCCGCCTTTTCTATAGAATTTGACACTAAATCTCTAAATAATGGCAAAGTTAAAACCTTTTATTTCAGCCCTCTATTGAGAGTGAGTTAGGCACATTGTAGTACTTTACCCCTATAATTTTAGTGTGTATTTCTTAAGAACAGGAATAACATTTTAGAGAGCCAAAGTGCAGTTACTAATTCAGTAAGTGAATATAATATTTTAATCTGCAGTTTGTCATCTAGTTTTGTTAGATTACTTTTCATAGTCTATATTATTTTTTTTTAATTCAGTACAAAAATCCACTCCAGAGTCAGGTCCTATATTTAGTAATAATATCTTTTGGGCCTTACTGTTTTTTTTGTTGTTGTTGTTGTTGGTTGTGGCGCCTGAACTCTGGGCCTGGGCTCTGTCCCTCAGCTCTTCAGCTGTAGACTAGCTCTCTACCACTTGAGCCTCAACCCCACTTCAGACTTTTTCTGCTTATGTGGTACTGAGGAATCACATTGAGGGCCTCAGGCATGCAAGGCAAGCACCCTACCTGAGCCACCTTCCCAGGCCCTCTTTTGGGCCTCCCTTAAAATACATCCACAAACTTAATTTATCTTTTAGGACATTGACATTTTTGAAGAATACAGTTCCTGCTTATGCGACATTTTATGTTATGTATCCTTAGTTGAAGTCATGTAGAGATGGATGGTATTGTGTCTTCTGGGTGTCACATATGGAGATACATGATGTTTATCTGCCCCCTCATTAGAAATTTGGTTACTTTCATCTGTCTGTATTGTGTTTTCTGTCTAGCTCCATATGGTATCCGAGAATCTACAAGAAGAACAGGTTCACAGAAAGAAATACCAAAGGGGATGGAAAAGTGGTAAGAGAAATGAAAGTATGACAAGAATCTACTTTGAGGACCATATTTCTTATTTTTAATTGACTTAAGCAGTCTTAAAATTTTCACTGATTTTGAAATGTTGTCTTCTCTATTAGTCCAGAAAGCCACGTTCCTGTTTCCTTGAGTTATCACCTGAGTGATATGTTTTTTGACCTATTGAACTTTGCCGCTGAGACCCTTGTATTAGGGGGAAGACTAGTCTATTGGTTACCAGTGTATACACCAGAGTACGTGATCTTAATTTTTCCTTCAATTTCATCCTGATTTTTATCTCTAATTTTATTGTTATTTTTGTACTTAATATATATTGATAACATTTGTTTACTTACATATATGTTAAAAAAAGTCTCCTTCCTCTTATTGACTCAATTGTTTTGACCTTTTTATCAAAGGTCTTTATATCATTTATGTTTATTTCAAGGATTGTCAGATCTTAGCTTGTGAGCCAAGTATGGTTCTTAACTTGTTTTGGTAAAGTCCTTGAATTAAGATTACTTTTTACATTTTTAAAAGGTTGTTCAAAGCATATTATACAGAGGAATACATAACAGCAATATATATATACATACATATATATATATGTATATATAAATTTCACAAAAATTTAAACTATTCACCCTCTGGTTCTTCACATGAAAAGTTTGCCAACCCTTGTTGTACCCAATCTTAGCTCAGAGCCTAGTATATTCTAGTTGTTCAGTAGTTATTCTGCCTATCTCAAACATAAGTAATTTTCAGCAACTTAGCTGAGGGCTTTGTATATAGCTACTTCTAATGCTAACTTTCATACATATTGTTTGCATGTAAGGGATTGTAATTACCTTGAATGCAGTAAATCTTTTTTTTTAAAGCTAAGACCAAATTAAAAATTATGGGTATATGAAAGTCCTATTCAGTTCAAACATTGGTTTGAGTTTTATGACTCAGCAACTGTTAAGGAATAAATGGGTATGTACATCAGCAGTGAATGATAAAATGCTTGAACAAGATATGTAAAGATAGCATCAAGTTCAAACATAATTTCTTCAATTTGTCTTGGAAATTTTTTTCAAGTTAATTCCTGAATTTTCTGTTTATACTTGCTCAAAAGCATTTTAGGACAGTGATATATTGTCTGTGTTTTTTATAGTGGTGAGTGGTCCTTCAGCATTTGGAAGCTGTGTGGTTTTTGTTTTTACAAACTGTTTCAGAAATGACTGGCTTACCTGTAGTCATGTATTTGTTTATCAGCATTGGCAATATAGTTTTGTTGCCAGTGAAAATTTCATTTTAACCCTTTATTTTGGAAATGAGGAAAATGAATTTCAAAGACTGAAATGACTCATCTAAAATTAAAAACTGGGGCTGGGAAGGGGGCTCAGTGGTTAAAGCGCTTGCCTTGCATGCCTGAGGCCCTGGGTTCGATTCCTCAGCACCACATAAGCAAAAACAAAAAAGCCGGAAGTGGCGCTGTGGCTCAAGTGGTAGAGCACTAGCCTTCAGCTGAAGAGCTGAGGGACAGAGCCCAGACCCAGAGTTCAGGCCCCATGACCGGACCCAAAAAAAAAAAAATAAAATAAAATTAAAAACTATCCAGCTTTCGCTAATTTGTTTCTTTATTTCTTATTCTATGTTCATGTAATTCAACAGCTTGTTTGATAGCTCTCATAACTGACGTGTGAAATGATAGGCAAGATTTTACTAATATTTTTAAAAAGGCACATATATGTTCATTTCTATGAAAAACCCCCCACCAATTGCTATCCTAGACAAAATGTATTCTAAAATGTTTTAATATCTACAGAACCTTTTCTATTTATCATATTGTAGCTCTCTACCCACCATTTTTTTTTCCCCAAATGCTGCTTGACAACTAGTATTTGTTTGCTATCTCTTCTTCCTTATATTTCTCTCTTCTGACTATAATAGGTACAAACCAACGGCCACTGCTTTTTCCTTTAACTCACTTTCAGTGTATACCATCCTAAATTTTTCTTTTTAAATTAACAGTGTCAGGCTGGGTTTGGTAGTCCTTGCTTTTGATCCCAGCACTCAGGAAACTGAGGAAGGGTGATTGCGTTTAAGCCTGTCCAGGGTTACATCTTGAGATCCTGTCTCAAAGCAAAAACAAAATGAAACAACTTCATGATATGAAGAAGAATTTAAGGGTAAAATCATCTGCAAAAGTTTGAAATGGTATTCTTGCTTCTTAGTTAAATAGTGTAGGATTTACTTAGGTTGTACTGGAAAAGTAGATTTTGTTAACTTAAGAATTAAAAATTTTTATTTAAATTGTACCTTAATACAGCTTCATATCCTGTTAATTGATGCAAGTTAAAAAATAATTGCACATTAGAATCAAGTGCCACTATAGTTAATCTAATCTCAGGACATTTTAAAAAGCACAGTTAGATAAAAGCTCAGTTGTAGTTGAGAAATGGTGAGAGCTGATAATTGTTAAAGGATTTTCTCATTGATATTTAAATCACAGTGAAGAAACAAGTACCTATAAACTTCTCTGTTCTTGTAGCTTAGACTTTGTAGTGTGTCTGATTTTTTTTCCACCATCAAAATACTTGGTATCCTTTATATTGTCCCACTTTGTTTATTCTGTTTCTCAGCCTTTTTTAATTCATCTAGTACATTTCTAATCATTTCCAAGGACTGGCATAATTCTTATCACTCTGGGCACTTTTTCTGCCACTTCTCAGGAGAGGTAATGAGTCCTTTCCCCATGCTCTATAGTAGTTCTTACAGACATTTCAAGAGACTTTGTAAGTCTCCTTGCAAATAACTCTGAACATTTAGGTTCTGTCCTTAGAGACAAAAGTTGTTTCATGCATGTGATGTGAGTGTGTATAGCTGTGTGCTCAAGTTTTATGTCATAGAGCGATGGTACCTGACTTCATGACATACAAATAGCTCTCAAGCTGATTAGAAACTGTTTATTTGTGAAAGATGACCTTTAATGGCAACACAACTGCTAGCATTGGTAAAAGTAATGACTTGCATACATCAAAACATAACATTGTGCCCCATAATTATCCAATTTGAAAATTTAAAATATATGACCAGAGTGCCTAGTAACATGCCCCATAGTAGGCAGATCATGTCTCAGATCAGTGAAGAAAACATTTTCCATCTCCTATCTAGGAAATAGGAAGGAGTGATTACTTAAACCATTTTCAGTAAGTGTTCCAATCAGCCTAGAATCTGTTTCTCAAATGACAAATGTCATTTAGGAAGTAATTACATGAAAGTTCAAAGGAAAATGTGTGACTACCTGTATTGATTTAGTGAAAAGCTAGAGGCCTCTATGGTTATTTTTGCTTTAAAAAATAAGTTAAGAGACAAATTATAGTGGTGCATACCATTAATTCTAGTATTCAGGAGGCTGAGGCAGGAGAATTTTGAGTTTGAGATCAGCCTGGGATACATAGGGAGTTCCAGGCCATCCTAGAGTAGATAGTGAGATATCACAAACAAATACCAAATAAGCAAAAAGATGGATAAAATTTATATTCCTTGAAATTTCCCCTTCTCCATGAATTTTATTATATTCACAAAGTTGTGCAGCCATCAACACTATTTAATTCTGGAATATTTTCATCACCCCAAAAGAAGCTCTGTAGATATTAGCAGTCATCATTTCTTCTGCCTTGGGCAATCACTGATCCATCTCTAGATTTGCCTGTTTGGGCTGATGTTAGTTTTAAGTAGGTAACTTAGCCTGTAGGGAAGCAGTAATAAAAATAGAGAATTAAGATAATACCATACTAGTCTAGGCATAATATGGATTTATAGCTTCTAACAGGTTGCAAATACCCCATCGGTATGATCTGTAAGTAAATACACAGTAAGGAATTTTTTTTTTTTTTTTTGGTCCGGTCATGGGGCCTGAACTCTGGGCCTGAGCACTGTCCCTCAGCTCTTCAGCTCAAGGCTAGCACTCTACCACTTGAGCCACAGCACCACTTCCGGCTTTTTTCTTTTTGCTTATGTGGTACTGAGGAATCGAACCCAGGGCCTCAGGCATGCAAGGCAAGCGCTCTACCACTGAGCCAACTTCCCAGCCTGACAGTAAGGAATTTTTAAATACTATTCTAAGATTTTTTTGATTTTTTTTTATAGTAATTTAGAGGAACATTGTTAAGTTATGACTTGTTACTGTAGAGTAGTCCTTCCCTATCTGTGGGGTTGGAAATATAGTTAGGCCTGAGAATGTTGTATGTACTGATCTGAGATTTTTTTTCTTGCCACTATTTATACAGTACAGCATAGCAACCATATTTGTTATATGTTCATTGTGTTAGGTATTATAAATAATCTATAGGTGGTCTAAAGAATCCAGAAGATTGTGCATAGGTTATGTGCAAACACCTTACCATTTTAGTTCATCTTTGTATTATTGTATCTTTCAGGGATGGGGGGGGGTCCTAGAATCAATTTTCTGTCGATACAGAGAGATTATAATACATTAGTGATTACAAGTTTCTTAGTGGTGATGACAGTCCACATGATGTGTCTTTATGCTTAAAACTGGAGCAGACCAAAAAGATGTTCTAATATGTTAGAATATGATAATATGTTATTTAATCAAATGCTGTGGTTCATGTTCACCCAGGGGTACAAAAGGAAAAGGTAAAGAAGGCCCAAGCTGTGTGCTGGCTGTTCATGCCTATGATTCTAGCTACTCAGACTGAGATATGAGGGTCATGATTTGAAGTCAGCCCAAGCAGGAAAGCCAACAAGACTCTGACCTCCAATTAACCATCAAAAATCCAGAAGTGGAGCTATGGCTCAAGTGGTAGAGACTAGCCTTGCGTGAAAAAGGTCAGAGACAATGTCCAGGCCCTGAGTTTAAATCCTAGGACCAGAAGAAAGAAAGGGAGAAAGGGAGTGAGTGAGGAAGGAAAGAAGGGTGGGGGAAGGAAGAACAGGAGCACAGGCCACATTCATATCATAATGTTATTTAACATAGTGATTTTGTGCTTTTAATTTTTTTATTTTTGCAAAGGATATCAATGTAGAAGGAATTTATATCTTTTTGCTTAAGTGATATTTTAATAAAAATACATCAGACTCATTAGGAGGTTTTTTTTTTCTTTAAAAGGCACTTATATATAAGGTACTTTACATATATAAAATATATTATATACATTATATATTATAATGTATATTATATACATTATATATATTATACACAATAAATATAATATATACATTATATATATATACATATAGTGTGTGTATATATATATATATATATATATAGTCCAGAGTATTGCAAGTTTAAAGCCAGTCAGGACTACAGCATGTAGCGAGACTGTTTCTCTTTCATAGCTCAAGGTGCATTTCTAACGTTGACAAGCATTGTTTCAGCATTCACAGATCTTGCTCTTTCCAAGCTTAAAGTCAAAGCTATGTCTTCTCTGTTTCCGTTTTTTATTTTAGTATTTATCATGATGTAGTATATGTACCTTCATGTTACAAATTCATGATACAAAAAAATCCAAATTAAATGTCAACTACTTTTATAAGAAATATATTTCTAACTATGTAATGTACATTACACAATTATTAGAGGAGGGAAAGCCTAAGTGGCTATTGCTTGTTGGAAAGCTGTAAGGAAGGAGGCAGAGAAAGACTTCAAGAGAATTCCTTCCACTGATAATCCAGTGAAGTGTAGTATGAACATTGATTGGTAAGTGAGTGGTGAAAGTTCTGAGCATGTGGCTAAGGTAGTGAAGAAGAGCTTCTGAAGGTCAGAGAGACCTAGGAAAGTCAGTAGGAATGGCGGTAAACACATTGGTGACACAATAGAACAGCCAGTTTCAGCTGGAAGTGTAGCTCAAATGGTAGAGTTCTTGGCTTGCATGCACAAAGCCCTGGGTTCAATCCCAAATCTTATAAAAACAAAAACAAAAACCTAGAACAGTTAGCCTCCCTGTGGTTTTTCATCAGCATTCTCCTCATTTTGGATCAGAACTTTAAAATGACCCACAAAAAAATGCCCATCCAGAAAGACAAAGATTTACAAAGGAAAATTAAAACAGTGTTCTACAGGTACCTATATCGAGTGAGCCCCTTCCCTTCTGTTCTGCATTCTGCATCAGAGCCATTTCCCTAATGTCTGTCACCTATGACTTCTGCCAAGACACCAGGTTCTTAACTGATGAGCCTGAATCTTCTGTTTCTAGGTATCTTTGTCTCCATCATGTGGTACTTGTGTTAAGACTGCAGCTGTCTCCATACAGCTTCAGTATACTTCCTGGTTGATGTGAAAGGACAGTGGATATAATCTCTAGTGGTTGTTTTATAATTGAATAGTTGTGTGAATAACTTTAGTTCTGTACTTATACATTTAATGCAAGTTTCAAGATGTAATTGAAAGGGGCATAATCTTGTAGAATGTACCATTGCTCTTTTGGGATCCTTCAGGGTAAAATCTTGTATTTTTGTGGTTTACAAGGTTAAAAATTCCATTTTTTAAAATACGAGAATATTAAAATACTTTGCCTTTGAAATATAGGTAGGCTATTTATGGATTATGTGCATCCATCACTGGCTAGCCCTCTGCTCCTGTGTGTCTGTACATGAGAATGTTGGTGACACCCAGTTCTACTTTTTCCAGATACACTGAAGAGATGGTGCCCTGGCACCCTTGTCTGAAACTCATTAGTAACTGCGAGCAAAAGCTTTCCAGTCACACATCAAGACGCTTGATCACAATGGAGAAGGTGATGAAATTTGAGGTAAATTGCTCAAGTAATTTTTAGAATAAATTCTGGAAGAATCAAAACTAGATTTTTCTATTTTTTTCTGTAGTGGAGAATGGAAATATTAATACTTCAGTTTGTCAATTTTTATTTTTTAACTTATTTTGAGGCAATCTATGTATAGCTCAGGCTAGCCTGAAACTCAGTGAGTAACTCAGGCTAGCCTTGAACTTGAGATCTTTTTGCCTGAATCATCTGAGTGCTGGCATTACATATGTAACCCACTGCTGACCACCAGCCACATGCATGCTTCTATAAGCAGTATTCCAAAGAATTAGGCAAAGACAATGAAATGATGTTATAGTTAATAAAAGCAAATATTAAATCAGCTTTCTTTTTTTGATGGTACTAAGGTTTGAACTTGGTGCCTTCCACTCTTTGCTGCGTTTGTTTGCTTAACTGATGTTCTACCACTTGAGTCATACCTCCAGCCTGTTTCATTTGATAGTTATTTTGGAGACATAGTCTCTTAGATTTTTTTTGTCAACAATGCCTTTGAACTGTGATCCTGCAGATCCCAGTCTCTTGAGTAGCCAGGATTGTAGGCATAAGCCACATCTGGATGGTCATTTCTACTTTAATGGAAATGTTTTTAAAGGTTAAGATTTATTATGGACTAATTCCCCATTTGCTTCTAATTTTTAAGAAAGTGTAGTATTTTTCTTTCAAACATATGATATTTTTGTAAGCAAATTGATTTTCAAGTTGAGGAAAAATAAGCTTTTGCGAGTTTTCATTCTACATTAGCATGATAAATAATAGTTTTCCTTGTTGGTATTTTTAACCTGGAAAGGTAGTCTTGGTTTTGTTGGGTTTTCTTTTTTTTATTTTACTTTTAAAAACTGATTTAAAAAAAAATAAGAAAAAGTGTATTGTCCAAGTGATTTTTGGAAATGGTATTACTTTGTAAGAAACATTAAGTAGTTTGAACTGCTGTGAAATTTGCTGTGGCTGATCCTATTAACCATGTTTATTTGTTAATTGATTACTTTATTTATCCCCCCTGTTTATAGGGAGATAAATATGTAGAATTGCAATTCTTTACAGTGCAGGTAATGACATGACACTGTCAAACAGCACTTATACACTGCTGACAGATTACTCATAGATTTGTTCAGTATTGCTGACCGTGGCAATGGAAGACTATTAGTTTTAGATTTTTATACTTTTGTACATTGTCTTTTTTCACTTTTAATTTGTTGCTTGTTAGGTTAACTAGTCTACATGATATATATTGTTACCAAGTATCTTCTGTCCCCCCTCTTTAAAACATAAGCATAAGTTAGGAAAAAAATATCTAGAGAATATGGATATTTTATACAGTCTCTTCATCTTCACATTGTTGGATGTATTTTTGCAATAGTGAAGAAGTGAATTCTGACAACCGTGTTCACATTGTGGATGTCCACAGTGGCAAGACAAGCCAGATTATTTTTGTCATTGTTTCCACTGATATATTCTGGAAACTAAATAAAGGAAAAGTAACACTCCAAGAAGTCTTAATTATTTACAAACTTTTCCCCCCATTTTTGAGTTAAGCAAGTGGCCTTTACCTATCCCAGTTATTTAAATAGTAAGTGGCAAGCAGAGTTGAAAGCAAAACGGCTTTGTACTTCAAATTCAGTGCTTTTTTTTTCTTTTTGCCAGTCCTGGGGCTTGAGCTCAGGGCTTTGGCACTGTCCCTGAGCTTCTTTTGCTCAAAGCTAACACTCTACCACTTGAGCCACACCACCACTTGCAGCTTTTTCTGTTTATGTAGTACTGAGGAATCAAACCCAGGGCTTCAGGCTAGGTGCTAGGCAAGAACTCTACCACTGAGCTACTTTCTCAGTCCTCAGTATCTTTTTTCTTTCTCATCATATTGCCTCTTCTCTCTCTACCAAAACATTCTACCTTCAGAATATGCCAGTGTTTAAAGTTATATATTCTATAGTCTGGCGATATAGTTTGGTGGTAAGGTAATATGCTTAGGTATCATGTTCAAAGTCCTAGGTCTAATCAATCCCTAACACTGCAAAATTATATAAGTAAGTAAAAAGTAAATATTCTTAATTAGTACATTACTGTTTTTTCTCCTCTTTTCCTTCTCTCCTTTCTCCCTTCTCCTTTCTTTCCTCTCTCCTGTCCTTTCTAATCAATGTGATGGTAGCTTGCTTGGCAGGCACTCTACCACATAAGCCACACCTCCAGCTGTTTTTGCTTTAGGTATTTTTTCAGATAGTGTCTCATATTTCCTAGCTAGCCTGGACTTTAATCCTCTTATAGTGGCAGGTGATGAAAGTTCATTCATTTTTTTATTTTGGTTTGAATAAAAGTATCTAGTATCATGGAGGTGATGAATACATTAATGAGTATGAGTATTCTAGAATTGAGGGTTTTTGAATAAAAAAATAAAAAAATATTGAACTTGTTATGTGTTAGTGGCTCATGCCTGTAATCCTACCTACCCAGGAGGCTGGGATCTGAAGATCGTGGTTTGAAGCCAGCCTGGACAGGAAAGTCCCTGAGACTCTTATCTCCAATTAAGCACCAAAAAGCTAGTAGTAGAGAAGTCACTTGGTAAATCACTAGCTTTGAGCAAAGAAGCTTGGGCCCAAGCCCTGACTTGCCAGGACTAGCACCAAAAATGAATAAATAAAAATAAAGATGCAAAGGGAAAACTGAGGAGGGTAGAGTATGGACCCTGATAAAATAATTTAAGGTTGACTTGAAGTGGAGAAATTATTCTTTATAAGCATAGGGTTACATTTTTTAATTATATTGTTTCTATCATAAACTTGTGTTTTACTGACTTAATACTTTCACCTATTTTCATTAGACATTATTCTAGCTATGCTTTGAAAATAGTTTCTTCTGACTGTCTTTTGCTTCTGAAATATTTTTTTTATTTTTGCCTATATTTCCTAAGGACTATATTTCTCTTTGAGTAGATCTATGAAAAGGTAATGATTAGGTTGAATTATGAAGCTAATGTTTTTGGTAGGATATAGATGATAATTTATTTAGTGATGAGAAACATAAGGCAAGAGGATACTATATGGGAACATAGTAACTGAACATAAATCCAGTGTAGGTCTACAATACTCATTAACATCATTCAAGTGAGAATTGTAGAGAACTTTGTTTGTTTGTTTTAATGCTAGTCCTGGGGCTTTTCTGCTGAAGGCCTAGATGTTCTCTCTAAGCTTTTTTGCTCAAGGCTAGTATGACACCACTTGAGCCACACCCCTATTTCTGGCTTTTTGGTGGTTATTGGAGATAAGAATCTCATGGACTTCCCTGCTGGGCTGGCTTCTAACTGATTTTCGAATCTCTGTCTTCTGTGTAGCTAGGGTTACAGGAGTAAGCCTCTGGTGCCTAGCAATAAAGAACATTAAAAAATGAATAAGAAGTCAGAAGGAAACTTGTATTTCGTATATATTTTTCCTTCTGAGGAATTTGGAAGAATTTCTTGGAAGTTGATGGCAACTGTGGTGCTGCTGCCTGAGTACACTTTTCAGATTTTTAAAATCTGCTTAGTTCCAAATGAATTTGCTTTTGCTGCTAATGCTACTTTTTCTTAAGTTTAGGTCTTGAAGAGTCCTCATTTTTTCATTTTGTACTTTTGTAACAAAATGATTTTTTTTCAAACTATATTACTGTTTCTGGTAGCTCAAGAGAAAGGAAAATCTGCAACTACAGGAAAGGGTCATTAATGAAGGTATCTGGGTCATGTAGTAGATGATGGATGCTTTTTCATTGTAACTATATTGTTTGTGGGAATAGCAGTTCATCGACAGCAGAGAGAAATATGGCTCCAGCTCTAACACTTATATTTTTAAGCATTGATAATAAAATAGTTTTAAAACTTATTGTAACAGATTCTTAGGCATAGAACAGTTATAAAATATAAATATACTCGGAATTCTGAAGAATGGATTGGTTAGAGAAATGGGAAATTTTAGTGTGGAATCAATATAATTTTCTGGAGTATCTGTTCTACTTCTTTCTTTTTTCTTTTTTTTCTTTTTTCTCATATAGATATGTGACTTGACATTTATTTTTGGTGCCAGTCCTGGGGCTTGAACTGTGTGCCTGGGCACTGTCCCAGAGCTTCTTCTTTTTTTATTTTTTAATTTTTTTCATATATATTTTTTATTGTAAAGATACTATACAGAGGGCTTATAGTTACATGAGGAAGGTAATGAATACATTTCCTATCGAGCATTGTTAACCTCCTCCTTTGCCAGAGCTGCTTTTGCTCAAAGCTAGTGCTTTATCACTTGCTCTACTTCCAACTTTTTCTGAGTAGTTTATTGGAGATAAGAGTCGCAAGGACTTTCCTTCCAAGGCTGGCTTTGAACCACCATCCACATATCTCAGCCTCCTGAGTAACTAGGATTACAGGCATGAGCCACTGGTGCCTGGCTAACTTGAGCCTTTTTTTTGAGTGTTTTCAAATTCAAGCATGTACTTGTATCTTATTGCTTGATCTTCTGATATTCCAACCCAAATGCAAATGCACAGGTAAATGAATAATATAAAGTGAACATCTGTGTGACAACCACCAGATAAAATTGCACAGTAATGCAGTACCCTAGAAACAACCCCATTGTGTGGTCATCTGTGATCACAAATACCTCACTCTGAAGGTTTATATATTATTCTGACTTTTGTGTTAATCATTTTTTACTTTCATTTATAATATTGTCACTATTAAATTTCTCCCTAAGCAAAATAGTTTTGCATCTTTTAAAAATACATTTACATATTGATTTTTTTTGTTTTGTTTTTTTGGGGGTCCGGTCGTGGGGCTTGAACTCTGGGCCTGGGCGCTGTCCCTCTGCTCTTCAGCTCAAGGCTAGTGCTCTATCACTTGAGCCACAGCACCACTTCCGGCTTTTTTCTTTTTGTGTATGGTGCTGGGGAATCTAACCCGGGCCTCATGCATGCAAGGCAAGCGCTCTACCATTGAGCCACCTTCCCAGCCCTTACAT